GATGGCCGCCGTATTTCCTGCGCCGGAGCGGCCAATGCGGGGTCTACTCTTATATTATGTCTATGGTCTAACAGGAAGGGGCGGAGCCATGGCAAGGACCAGAAGCCAATCACAGCAGCTCGTACTGACGCAGGTGCATGCGCTGGATGATGTCACGACAGTCGTTGAAGACGCGGCGGATGTTCTCCGTGTCGATGGCACAGGTGAAGTGAGGGTAGCAGTAATGTTTCCCATCAGTGCTGGCTGTGCTGATCCTCTGGAACATATTAAAGGGAACATATTAGAGGGAACATATCAGAACAGAGGTCTCATTTTCGCGGCCCGCAGCACGATGTCTTGTGCCCCCCACCGTGATATGAAAGTATAATATTAGTGGCCCACAGGGTGAGCGGCCCTCTGAAGGAAGTCCCGCCCGCCGTTCCTCGTCATGGCTGACATTCGGTGCTAGGCTAAGCTACACTGACTTCATGCACACTACACTTGTAACAACAGAGCGGTGGATGATGGAACAGTCCGGTACCAGGTTCCCTTCCCTGCAGTCGCCATTCCGGTACTTTCTACCATTAATGCCATGATCAAATGCAGAGAAAGGAGACTGCTACCGGGCTGCGTCATCCACCGCGCTGTTTGACAAGTAGAAGCGGTGATGACGTCACGCATCGAGACGTTCTCCATAAGTTGCTAGCTGGCTAAAGACTTCTATGAAACGTAGAACAAGAGCAACGCCAAGTGGAATAAACTTACGGTGTGTTCACACTGCAGCCTGAAGTGACCCAATTCCGATTTTTTTTTTTTTGGTAATGCGACCCATATCCGATTCAAATGCGACCTAATGTCCAGGCCGCATTCATCCGAACTGAACGTCACTGATACTCAACAAATTCTCCGTCCTGATACGGGCAAGTGGGAAGAAAAGCAACTATGACGGACTATAATGAGGATTAAGTTGTTAATATGCAAATATGTAAGCTAAGCTCCACCGTTAGCCTCCATGTTTACTTCTGCAAACACTGAGCACTTCTTCTTTTCATGGCGGTTGGCAGAACACTGAGAACGCTGACGCTATGGCGCCCTCTACTGCGCATGCGGGACACTTTCAGGTTGTTGGCCCGTTCAGACTGCAGAACACATGCAGGTCACATATGTGTGACAGTCTGAAC